AATAACCAAAAAATAATAATCAAAAGTTCAAAATTAACAGTACAAAATGAATTAACATTCAGGACTGGATCAAATTTGACCACCAAAATTAGCTGGTATGTCTGGAAAACATCTAGTAATAGCGGGTATTCCAGGCATTCAATACAATTGTCTGAACAGAGTCTGGACAATACCAAGCACACCTGACATGTACAGTGCAATAGGATTAAAGTYGTTATTGAATTACATTGCATTGAGGGTTGGTTTTTTTGTTATCTACATTGTTCTCCTAAACTTATAAATACACTATGGGCCAACCACATGTGTGTTGGAATATTTTCACTACCAATGAATTTTTTTTGGAAAAAAAAATACCACAGTGGCTGACCTTATATTGTTTAACTTGTGATGTTTTAAGTTAATTAGAGCCATATGGTTAGGATCTGAAGTACAGTACATACTGACGCAACTTGAAAACCCCCAAGTTTAGCTTATCAGACATTTCAACCTGTCATCTATTTGCCAATGTTGATAACAGGTTCATTTCTCTACTTTAACAGCTKATTTTCTTATCAGTTTATTTTTATTATTTTTGATTCTTAATTTATTTTGAATATCCTTCACACAAAGTAGAATATGGCAGTCATAAAAGTAGAGGTACGGGGTTAGATTAGAATGTGACTGGGACTATGAATCCTAAAGAAATTCATATTCTATTGTGTTATGCAGGTTTTACAGACGCAAGTCTTAAGTCCTGATGTGGACAAATTGTTTACAAATTGAGTTGAATCAAAKCTGTAAGAGAATGTGTTATTTTGAAAAGGAAGGACAATCAAAAAGTATTTCAAAAACTGCACAAGACACAAACACCTAGATCTAACCAATACTTATGGCTTTATAATAAAACTAATAATTAATACTGGATGTTCTAGATAGCTCAATTTTTTTCTGAACAAGACTTGTGACATACATAAAGACATTTAGGATTAAAGCCATTGTTACTGAACACAGGCAAATTCTCCATACATTTGACCAGGTGTCCTGAACATTATTACAACATTAACTACAATACCAAAGCATGGAGCCAAAAGATAAAGGGTCTGATCTCCTATATATTACCTTACAATATAGCTTTCCACCTAGAGCCATRCTACTGAACATCTCATAATAGATATCTAACAAAAGAATCTATTATCTCTGCTCAAATCAATTCTAGATCTACCTCATTAAGGAAGTCACTTTAGTGATGGAAATACTAGAAGCACTTGGAAAGATTATTATTTTGCAAGTCAATAATAAGTTTTGAAGTGATAATATTTCTCCCTGGTTTTAAATTTCACTCAGTTTTTAGAGTCAAAACAGGAAAACAATCAATTTAATTCCAAGTACCCTGTTTGTATAGATAGACAAGTACTTGATCCTAAGCCAGACACAGGACCTCAGTTCAAATAACAGCAGCAAAATTAATTAGCAATTTTGTCTTGTGACAAATTGCTGTAGCTAATATAACAGAGACATTTTAGTAAAGCTTGCTCCCAAACAATAGGTATTAAAATATTCAGCTTAATCATATATTACRAAAACCATTTTGTGTGGTTTCAACACCAAGGTGTCGGTTTTGTTACCAAGGTTCAAAAATATATACGATGGTTTGGAAAAAGTATACAAGGTAACATAGGCAATCTTGAGATTTACGAGCAACATTAATCTTAAGATGTCGGACAGCAAAATTAATTCAAATGTACCAAAAAAAGATAACAATAGGAATGAATTTATTATCCAGAGGCATTAGGTGTGACAAGCTGTACTAAAAGTACGACAAGGTCCAGTAAATAAGTCTGGTCCTTTTCCAGTAATAATTGCAAAGCTTTGAAATACAGGACAACGCAATGAGAATAACAATGATGCATTACAAATTTAAAATGTTGAAACTAGATGATCATCATAATTTTCTTCATACAATGAAATAGTTTATAGCKTTATGTAGATTATTCTTTTCCTGTGGTTCATGTACATGTATAATACCAAACGCAATGTGCCCCCTGAGGAAATGTAATTTCCAGGAAGGTGCCTTTGATGCCAGTCAAAAATGCTCTTTTAAACACCTCTTAATGCTATTCCTTCAAARATATCTTTTAGAAAACAAAACGCCAGGAAATGTAGATTTAAAGCAAGACTTAAAGGTATAATTATATTTGGGGATAGACAATATGAGGAATAGAACTCGAAGCAAAACATTGAATTTGTTAAATAAATATTAACTCAAAATTTCAAAACGTAAAGTATTCTTGATTCAAATAGTATGTATGTACATCAATAAATCTAAAGTTCCATTTCAGTCGTTTAATATTCCAACCGTTTTATAAGGAAATATGGTAAAAAGAAAAGACTTGTACTTACCTTGCAAATTTATCCTTAATATTATCAGAATCACCACCTTGTCTAGAAAAAAAAAAGGATTATATGATCATAGTATATTATGAAACAGCAGTATCGTTTAGTAGTTTGTAGTATTGGGGAAAATATAGCCATATTATTGAAAGGATGTTGGTTTTGGAATTATTCTTAAAACGCATTTCTATAATGGAGTTGAGAGAGTTATTCCATGGGATTTAGCAAGATAGGGGTTCTAAAATCTCTCGTAAACAAACTAGACTTAACGACCACCAAAGTCCAAAAATACTTGCCCTTTGCCTCAAAAATCCCTTAAACTTCAACCTAATCGAGCTGGTTAGAAGACGGGTAATTTGTTTTTGTTGTTTAATGGGAAAAAGAATATGTATAACAAGGAATTATATTAAAAAACAGAGGTTTATTCCCCGCTACGTTGAACATGATTTTCAGCGCTTAACACAAACAATGTCCGGGTCAATGTGCTTTTTTACCTGGAAATTTTACTTTCTGGCTTTTCAGAATCATCATCGTCCGATTCCTCGCTGTAAATAAGAGGTGGTAGGGATATTAGTTTTATTATAGCAAGTCTAAGCGCTAAACGGAAGAAGCAATAGCCAAAATTTGAAGACAAGCGAGAAATAAAGATATCTYGTGTCTCCATCGAACCACAACACATTTTACCCCAAAATACTTGATACATACTCTTTCATTAGTAATGAAACGTTGCTTTTACGCTTCCTTAACCTTCCATGAGAAGATTTATCGCCGGAGTCGTTCTCGTCTGCAAAATATAAACAGTCGAAACGCTCTCAATCCAGTTGTATTTGAGTCTAGACGTACTCCATCTTTTAAGCCTCTAGAAGGTCGACCCGTCCAGAGGCCTAGAAGAATTTCTACTTACATTCATCCAGACCATCATCAACTCCATCATTAGAAAACACAAAACTCTCCGTAGGATCCATATTTTGTGTCGTTCAAGCCACCATGTATAAAATAATTAGTATAAATRCAAAAGCGATAGTACAACTTTCGTCCTACGAAGTGCTCATGTCTTTTTCGAAGACTTGATTATCATTCACGGACCACGGCTTTAAACTCCACAAAAAAGCAGCTCTGAACTTTAATAAACGATAGGTCAAAGCTTAAAGAACAGCGTTGGTTCTTAAAACTCAACGCAGCTGTAAAAAGAGGTGATATTTTTCGACGTAACGCAGTGAATTTTGCAGAAAATCGCTGTAAGCTGCAAATAACGGGAGAGAAGCAGACAATGTAACTTGGGTCAGTCGACGACTCCTACGCTCACGACCAATCACATAACACCTACCATCAGCACCTTTAGGTTCCCTTTTGTTTGAACCGCCAAGGAAATCAATTGTTATATAACCGAGTAAGTAACGCCAGACTCCTGACCGACAATAACTAAAGTGACGCCTACTTTCCAATATTTTGGTTTCRCTCTGTCTTTTTAGCTTGTAAAACAAACTGGTCAGTCTTGTGTACTGATAAACTGAAAGTACAATATCGCATCGTGGTAGCTTATACAATCTCTGGGGTGACCGACCTTGACCTGTTTTAATTCTGTAAGCTAACTAAAGAGTTGAGCGTAACTTCCGGAATGACGTGATGTTATGAGACGTGCTCAGTGGCTTGCCTCTATAACATGGTTCAACTACCGTTGAGATTAATTACGATAGCACTACTAATAAAATTGTACATCTAGTTTTTAAAACACTAGGGGCGCAACAGTTGGTGAATAAAACCGTTCTTAAATATTTTAACATGTTTTAACAGATTTTATGATATGTTTAACGTGTTACCAGTGACGGGCGTTGTAAGGTGGTCCTTTATTCCAAGTCTACCAAGCACCTGTTTTATAACACCTTTTTTAGTCTCTTTTATCAACGATTTAAAAACTAAAGTTTGTATAATTAAACAGTATGTTTTGATGATTCAATGCTTTCCATTAAGAAATTCCTTTAATTTCAAGAACTAAAACTAAGACTGATGATCCACTATTAAGCAAATTGGGGCAGTTTGGCTTGGATACGTTTATCAATCGCGAGTAGACTCAAGCTGCTGGCCTGTCATTTAAATACCAATCGTATAAATAGTTTTAAGCAGATAGCGACAATTTTGATATTTGGCGGTTTTAAATCATATATGTTTCGGCAGGTTCGACTGCCATCATCAGTGATGGTAAAGTAAAATGAGATTACAAAACATATAGCAGGAAAAAAATTCAAGAATGCATTATATTCAATGGCTTAAGCAAACACTTAACCAACAAGTACATCATGTCAATCTTAAATTAGTACATTAGTTTCTTTCCATTGTACTTTCACCCATTGTTTCCTTCTGCTATATATTTTGTAACATTATTTGTTCACTGGGATACGATGAGTCCCATAACATGAAAGACGCCTAGAACGGCTTTTTACGAAATAGAGGGTCTCAAATTCAGAGAAAAGGGGTTGTGTACGATGGATAATTAGTTTGTAGTTGAAGAGCTCAGTCATTAAAATAAGCGAAATGTTGATTGTTTTCCAGCAAAGAATGTTCACCAAACGTATACATATTATTTAATTTGGGAAGTTGTGGACAAACAAATTGAAACCCCATCGAAGTTCAAGGCGGGAATGATCGGTTCGTTGTCCGTTTGGTGTCTCATGCTGTGAATAGTGGGAATCCCATTTTCGTTCCATTTGCATGAAACGCGCGCTCATTGATTGGCACCAATAATATGGCTATAAATTCGATAATACTTCTTAAATAGTATCTCGTCTCTTTCAGATCCATAAAAAAGGAAATTGAACTACTTTTATTACTTGCGTGTTTTATTGCAAGTATTGGATGAGTGGGAAACATTTCCTTACTGCACATACATGATACGCCATGCTGTAACCAGTGGCACATCCAGGTTTTTTAAAAGAGGGGTTCCATAAAGGGCGCAACGCAGAAAATGCTAGTAAGATTGCCTTCTCAAAAAGTGGGATCCAATTTCATTCTACTGAGCGTCTTAGTGCTAATGATTGGCTTCACAAGATCTCACGGCAAAAGGGGGGTTCCATGGCATGACACACGTCAGATCGCGTGGGCATGGCTTAGGTAAGATACAGTACGGGCTATGGATTTGTCGTATTATTTCCCACTCGATCTTGAGTGCTCTTGCTTTGCTAACCGTCCTTGTAGAAATATTTTTACTTTTTTGACCTGAAATTCTCGCGTAAGTTACAAAGTGCGCAGTAGTCTCTTTTCAAGTATCGATTGTTTTTCTGTGTTGATTTAATTATTACCGTAACGGCAGATGTCATAGCTTGATCCGTCCCGTTTTTGTGTGTGTTTAAACAGTCAATCCTTACTAAAGAGATCTCAGCTAATTCCTTTTAATCCTCTCTCCCGGATCTCGACTAAAACTACACACGAGTACATACGAGTAGTATTTGGTTGTGTGTACTCGTATGTAGTCGTGTGTACCCGTGTGGTCGTATGCCAGTACTTGCCGATGTTACTCGTATGTACTCGTGTGTAGTTTTAGTCACGATCCTCTCTACCGTCCAATGACGGACTAATGGGCAGTTAAAGCCACAGTAATCCATTCGAAACTTTTTTTATTCCCAAAAGACTTAAAAAACAATAGCGATGTGCGTTCGGTGTGTAGGTATAGGTTAGGGAGGGAGGGTTCTTTCAAGGAATTCGTTACAAAAAGAAAAAATTCATATCTCTCGTTTGCAATCATTCCATAAGAACGAAATAACAAAAAATCCGGCCATGTTGGATGATATAAAAAAGAGACTAATGGCGAATTTTTTGTTAAATTCATCCAACATGACGGTGTCTTGGTCGTTCTACTGAATGTTATATACTCTCATTCCTGGTCTGTTCTCAAACACATGACAGTAGAAGATACCTTAGTATTGCTAATGTATACTTTCAATTTAGTAGTTCTAATGATATGAGTTTCCATGGTTACGCTGTTATCATAAAAACTTGTGTACCGGATGCAATTCAGCGTAAAGAAAAGACATTTCAAATATTTTGAGTGTCAAGATGTCCTTATCAACATTTTTCGCACTTGAAGATATTAACCTTTCAAATATTTAGTTTTAAAAGCGTTCTGCTTTCCTAAGTGCCCATATAGGACACAATTATGATATCTTTTATGAATTTATTTTGCTATTTWAAAAAAATTGATTGATATTTCTGAATTCAGTTTAAACTAATAGGTTTTTTTAAATTACAAACTTCAGTTACAATATAAGATAGAGTGACCACAGTAAATCTGTGAAACACTAATTACTAAATAGTGCAAAATAGTGCTAGTTAAACAATAGAAAACAATGGAATTTGCATGAAATTGTGCAATTTAGTATTACTAAAGTTTCACGGATTTACTGTTGTCACTCTATTGTTTAATTTAGCTTATACTAAGATGTTTATTGTTGTTTTTTTACTTTAATTTACTTAACGGAAGTTTGAGAAATGAATAAATATCGATAAAAAAGAAATAAAACTCAATAAAACGACGTGGTCAGAAATGGAAATTCGAAAACAAATGTTTAAAAAATTAAAGAGGAATCTCTAGAAAGTATTTCGCTTGAATTATATTCATGTCAATTGGTAATCGACATTATCGCAAAAAGAAATAATACTAAGGGAAGTGGTCTGAAATTGAGACCGAAATGCTACAAATTCTTTAAGATTCCTTATCTAAATCTACTGAGTACTCTTTATACAATTAAACTACATTTATTCATCTCATTTATGCCGCTTGCGTGATGGCTTCTGATTACACCTAACCAAAATGCTTCGCGATTTTCTTTTTTATTCAAATAAGACATTGAACRAAATTGAGTTTGCAAGGAATTCTGGTATTTGTAGTTAATTAAAGAAATAGAAAACGCGCGCGCGTGCTGTGTGCTGTCATAAAGCACGCGGGGGTTGGCAGAACACGAGAGAAGCGTTGGGAGAAGCACGACGCGTAGCGGAGAAAGTTTTTTATTTCTTTTATAAAATACAAATTACAATAATAGATAGGAATGACGCGACGGAAAGTGCGCGCGCGTGCAATGTGCTCTCATAAAGCACTCGCTCCAAACCAATCAGAACGCGACATTCATAACAGTTAATTTATAATACGCCATAATGTAAATGTCCTGTTGGTTTTCAAAGTCCCAAATTTGACACGAGGCGGCGCGCGTTTTTGGCGCGAAAGTTCCCGCCAAAACCAGGCACTCCGTCAATATGAGGCCATATAAGAATTTAGTGAATAAAATGGAAATAAATTTTAGGACGGGTGCATGGCGAACTGTTTTACACCACTAATCTTCGTGTCTAGAACTGATTCCACTGTAACATCAGAGATTCCTTAACGAAATGCAAAGACGAGATTTCAGTTGATTATCTAATACCTGTAATTAAAAGTTTACAGGTCAGCCAATATTTCTGCCGTGTGTTTCAACACGAGAGGATATAAATATTTTTCAAAATGTTTAACTTAAACAAACATTTTGAAAAAAAAAAACGAAACAAGTTGAAAATTACAAAATTGCTATCGCAGAAAAAAAGTAGAATGACCTGAGCAATGCTCGAATGATAGAGGAACAAGCTAATCAAATTGTTCTGTGAGTCTCGTCTTTTATCTTCGATATCTTTTTCTGAGATCGTAGAATTATTTCCGGCTGTTCAGTTCCACTTAGGGGGACTTAAAAACATAAACAAGATGTCATGAGACTTTTGGACTGCTCGCGGGAAAAATATTTCAATAATAAAATAACAGCTTTTTCTGTTGTTGGCGCAGGTTTGTTGGTCAAATCTGACGGCGTATTTAATTAAAACCCTTGCCTAAGACCTATCGTTAAGCAGGATAAATGTCGCGATGAAATAACCTTTCTACTTTTTATATATACGGACCATGGGTGGAAATAATACGCAAGACTCACGAGAGGAATGCCATATTTAAAACGTCAATCATGACCAAGTATGATAACTATCTATCAACGATGATATAAGTAACAGTTCTCCGAGAGAAATCTAATTTTTTCGATTCGCTGCTCCTCGAAAGTTTGAACTCAGAAGCCGAGCCCTCTGAACTTCTTGTTTCTAAGTTTGGGTTYCTTAAACTTGATACATCGGCCAAACAAACCCGATTTTCATGTAAACAACGTCAGTTGAAGTCAAAAACAGCGAAGAAAACTATGATGTTTTTGAGCTGCAGTCCAGAGAAGTATTAAAATCCAAAGATGAATATCCTCGGAGAAAATGTAATGAGGAAGAAGGCCAATGAGAATATGCCACGGACGCCAACTCTTAAACGTCGTCTGGAAGTTCCTGCCGTCAGGCAGAGACAAAGAAGCTTATCAATGGACGAAAAGATCTTACTAAACTGGGCTGTTAGTAGAAATGATATTGATACAGTCAAAGGAATAGTGGAGTCTGCTAGAGTCGACATCAATGAGCGAGGAACAGACGGATTCTATCCTCTTCATCGAGCAGCTACGACGGGAAGCATGGATTGTCTAAAATTCCTAATCGAAAAAGGAGCAGCGGTCGAAGTGTATGATAAAGATGGACTATCACCACTCGACGTAGCCGTCTATGAAGGGGAGTACGATTGTGCGTTGTTGTTGATCGAAAAAGGAGCAAATATAAGTCATATTAAATATGGCTATCTTGAAGAATGCAAGATGAGTCCCAAGACGCGAAAAGCCTTGAAAAAGAGGTTAAGTCAGTGTCTAAAAACGGACCGGTGAGCGATGGATTTTATATTTCGTCGTCAAGAACATGGACTGACATGACGAAGATGGTCTTCTTATTTCAGCATTAATAAATTAGAAAGAATTGAAACTTTTTAGGTAGAGTAAATGCGGAGGAAAAATTGTTAAGTTCAACCGAACCGTTTTCTATTTGCGCTTAATGTAGAGATTAGATTTCGTATGAGTTGGCAAAAAGAAGCAAATTTGGACCCCCATCACTGAGTACGGTGTTTTTCATCGCGATTCTCCGATTCTCCGGTTTTAAGTCGCCAACACGGGTTCATATAATGACGGCGTTGGTCCAACGTTAATACGAATTGGCATTAGCGGCTCAAAATCGCAACTCATGGTTTAGGATTGGACAAATCGAACGAAAAAAAATTATTAGACAGCCATTAAATGGGCAGCAATGGGTGGGCAACAATGGGAAGCCATTTCGATGTCATGGCATGCCTGTACCACGTACAGCTGTACGTGCTGTAAGTCAATATCTTAGATTCGCTAGTTATAAAAAAAATCCCGAAAATTATACGAAATCAAAATGTAGTGTTATAGAATGTCGCAGTAATTCCTGCAAAAGTGTAAACTATATATCCGTTAAATRGTGCACCAATGAAAAAATTGAAAACAAATGTATGAAGTAGTATTTAGTTTTTGTGCTATTTTACGGATGTAAAATGGTTTGCACTCTGCACTCCAAATAAGTTCAGTGCAAGCAAGAGTGATGTAATACAAGTCATGRTCAATGCTGTCAGACCTGTATTTCTTGAATCGCGACCGTCAAAACGAAAATGACTTGCACTTAAATCCAAGACATCTTTTCAAGGAGGCCTGCCTGATTAAGCCGTAAAACCGAAAGCAATAAAAGAATGGAAAATGGGAAGGTCATGATAGCAAAATTCATAGTCAGCACCTGGAAAAAAAAGCCTGCGTAAAGCCGAACTAACTAACTGTTTAGACTATACGAGAGAAAAGTCCGGCTACACGCAGGCTACTGGAAAAAATGTCTAGTCATTAAACTCTCCAACGTTTAGAACAAAAGTACAATTCTTAGGAAAGGTTAAGTGTTACAGAATTAAATGTTTTATCGTGACCGACCTTGTCTAAGACAAAGTGACTGTCTAATTAAAGATTATAAATGCCTGATGATTTGTCTGGTGCATACTGACACGTACTGAGAAGATTGAGGGAAAAGAAAAAATATTCGTATTCTATTTGTCTTCCTTTTGAAATAACGTCCTCCATCTTTCTTGTCAATCTTCTATGGGTATTTGTGTCCAAATGAAAGCAACATATTCCCCAGACTACATTCCTCATGATTTTCTTCGTTTGCACATGACGTCATAGCCGCCATCTTGAATTTATCAAAGGACTTGTCAATGAATTCTTTTGTTATGTCAACCAACATGGCCGCCGTCTCTTTTCTTATTTTATTCCCTTGGAAATGATCGAAAACAATCAATTAAACCATGAGGAATGCAGCATCTGAGGAGATTAGGTCATGTTGAGAGAGGAAAGCTAGAGATCCCGCAGGAAAAGCCCTCAAATAAAGGGAGAGACCTAACAAACTCTACAAGATACTTAGTTCCAGGAATCAAAGCCATTCTACCACATGCTAGGGTTTTTAAGAACCTCTGAAATGTTGTTGAGCATGTCTAGTAAGAGTCGCAGAGCTCTGCAGGGCTCTAAATAGTGGGTCAGTGGTCAACAGCCAGTCAATAGACAATGCCCAGCTAAAATTGGCCCTTATCTGGCCAAATGCTTCTTCAGCTAGTCTTCTCCACTGGTCACATATTGGTCAGTCTATGGACTACTTTGACAATGAAGTGGCCATCTTGAATGACAAGGCAGCGTGGGTCATCCAGGGGGCAAATAGACAAAGCTTTGTTACAATAATGATGTCGTTTGACATTTACGGTGCATATCAAGACAATTATTTGACAAGACATGAATTTAAGAAAAATACACAGTTCCACAACTGAAAAAAATTGTCAAATATCATAGGGTCTTCATTTCAGCAYCTTTTTTTAAGTGTTTCTTTGTAGGTTGGTATCATAATTATTGGTTAACCATATCAACAACCTTGGTAATTATAGGATTTCAATAACTGAGCTTTCAGGCTCATTGTCCATTATCATGGAACAATGACCGACTTCAACAGTCATAACGTGTACAAACAAACAACGACCATGCGTGAACTAAAAACAACAAACACTAGCATGAGGAAAGTGTCCTTTTTTCTGTTGCCCAAGGGCAAACTATATTGCCTTGTGATTCACTATGGTCACCAGATCATCAAAGTACATATTCTATTGTGGTTTGTCATCACATTTGGCCACTGGACAGCCATTATTCTTAGCTCTGCTCTGTATGGGCTTGGTTATTTGGCTTTTATGAAAAATCTACATGATAAATTTGTATTGCTCTAACRTCATCAGTAATCAGTCCAAAATTACTTGGCAACACTTGGTGTGTACTTAGTAATAGTTGACAGCTAGAAATGTTCCTTTATACTTGAATTTGAATAAGTTACCCTAAATTAAAGACTGTATGAAATATGTATATGCTATAGGATGTGCTCACGTCTATGAAAGAGTTGAAAGTCAAGTAGGAGTTTTTACGTTGCAGGATTCATCTTCTTGTAGTTCGTTGTGTACTAATGTAAAGAACTAGAAAACAAAAATGACCAATTTAGAAAATGTGTCTGTAACTATTCCCTATTTTTAGGATGGAAAATATAACATTTATTGAGCCATTCAAATTGCATCTGTCTGCCTATGTCATCTGTCTGTCTGTCTTTCTGAACTCCTATTTTAACAGACATGGATCCAAAAGACTGAGGTTAAAAAATCTCTGAACCATGCCTGGCCATAATATTGTGAGTCTGGATGACAAATTGTTCATATTTTCACAAATTTCATTGATACCCTGAAACAAACTCTGGGCTGATCAAAATCAGGACAATGCTAACTCACTGACTGAATTTGAACTTACATAGTGGCTTTTGTTTTGTGGAGAGAGGAAAACCAGATTAAAAGACCCAAGAAATTCTCTTTTTTTGAAATCCCAAGTCAGGGAATTGAACTAGAGGTCCCAGAAGTAACTTTCATAATCTGGTTCATTAGTCAGAAACATYATTTTGGAGTCGAGGCTTTGCGGAACCAAAAGAATAATAATTACGATTACACTACTGTTTCCCCAGMGCCTCTTGTGCTTGACTACTCAACCAGAATATTGAAAGTTGGCAATTGCACAGCCTTAAACTCTTACCATTATTGCCTCTAATAAAAGCATCGCCATACTTGTTCTTTAACTGACCATTAACATACTCTTCTGTTTGTTCCATTGCTATGTTCATATATCCATCCAAACAAGCCAGTACACCTATGTATGTGAACAGAATAACAGTTCAAGTTCATCACCGTGATTCATTGGAGCCTGTGCTTCTTGTGATAGATTTTTTTTACATTGGGTGTAATGTTTTACCATTTCAGACCACATGTTATTCTCTTGAGAATAAAATTCTTTGTTTGAGTTGTATCCATAGTCATGTGTCACCATGTGCAACCATTAAACAAAGAAATAATGCTCTGGGGAATGACTAGATGACTAGTGGTCTGAAGCTGAAATAAAACTACAAGTTTTGGCAGTCATACCCCCAGCCTTCCCCCCCCCTCCCCTCCCCCCTACCTTACAATCATCTATATAAACGTACTGAAGTCAAATCATCAAAAGTTTGAGCACCTATTTATATTTTGCGACCAATACAACAGGTTCTTTTGATTTAAAATTACCATAGTGTGAGCTAATAACCTTTTGATTAACAGAAGCCAAGAAACCCAGATCCCTAAATAAAGTTGGTAAGGAAGCATGCAGGAGAAAAGCTCCAAATATATATTTTTTTACCTCTATAATCCATGCCATTATTTAGTTTTACCACTACTGGACGACCAATAATTAATTTGAGGAAGTCGCTTGGGGTTTGTTTTCTACTCATAGTCAAAATACCGCTATTTTTTCTGAGATATTCTGGACGTTCTTCAGCACACTTCGACAGCCGCTACTTCCAATATGGCGCCTTTATGAGTCTTTCCACAGGGAGCCCAATCTCAAGTTCTGGCGTTACGTTTTTACAACAATATATTGCATATTAATATATCAACTATATAAAGCTCCTAAATCTTGAATCATGTTAAGTAATAATCTTTTCTTGACATCTTGGGTGCCATTTATAAGTTAATAATATTTTAAAATCTTTATTTATTTATTTTATCTTACGAGATTGGGCTGCCTGTGGTGTGCTTCTCTCGGTTAAACCATAGACTAGTACTTCATGTACGAAATTCTCACAGAATTAAAGAGAAAATAAAGAGAAAATTATCCTACATGAAGTACCTAGCTATCAAACATGGCGGACGTTTGAGTAGCTTGAGTCAAATTTGTATTTTCATTTTTAATGATTCAATTTTTTTATTCCAATTAGATTGTTTTTCTCGCAAATGGCAATAATTTTACACTTAGGAGCTTTTATAAGCAACATCTAACCTCGAAAATTCAGAGCAGTTTTTACTGGAGTCAGTTCACTTTCAAGTAGCTTGTTGTGAGATATGAAGTATCATTTAAAGCAGCTTACGTTTTAATATTCCTTAAATTTCAAATAATCATGAATGGCCTAACGTTTAAAAGTCTTCTCAACCAATATTGTCAAAAGGCACGCGTTTCTTTGCCAATTTACTCAACGAAACCAGTCCAAACACTTGCAGGAACTCTAAGCTATAGCTGTAATGTCAAGCTGTTTAATGGGGCCAGTTTTGTAAGCAAAGGACCTTTTACCAACAAGAAAAATGCGGAGCAGGACGCAGCAAAGCATGCACTGGTTGCTCTAGGACAAGCAGCTGGCCCTGGAGAGCAAAATACTGAAGGTAATGTCTCAGAAACATGTTGTGGTGCTTCTGAGAGCATTTCCACTGAAGAGACTTCATCAAGTAAAAATACAGTTCAAAATAGTAATGTTACTGTAGCTGTGACTATAGCATCTACTTCTGAGGGAGTTTTAATGCCATCAGTGCAAACAGTTGATCAACCAAAGCAAAGCATATTTCCCACACTTGCTACAGCAAAAAATATATTGAATGAAAGAGCACAGAAATTGCACATAGCTCTACCGTCATATCGAACAGAGGCAGATGGCGTAGGGTTCATTTCACGGGTTACATTCAATGGTGCGACTTATTGTTCAAATGGAAGTTGTAGATTAAAGAAGGAAGCTGAGAAAACTGCCGCACTAGAGGCCTTGAAAGTATTAATACAAGATCCATTGAAAGGTTATGGGAATGCGACAAGTAGTGTTGTGGAATCGAGTGGACAGGAATTTTGTAACTTGGAGGAGAAGAATAAGGGTATGGTACCCAGTGCTTGTACCTCACAAGATAATTCTTGTAAGCTTATGTCCGACAATCCGGAAGTAGAGATGAATGTTCAAGGTTTCTCTCCTGATTTGCTTGGACCCTCGTCTTCCGGTTTGCATGCTTCGGTAGAATTATTGCCAAATACACCTGTTGGAGTTCAAAATGCAAGTGTACCAGTTTGCCAGCCATCACCTGTGTCATTCAAGAATCTACTTCAGGAATACATGCAGCAAAGAGGAATAGTTGTGGGTCCAAAATATGTGACATCCATGTCAGGTACGTACATTAATTTTTTTCCAGTCCTGTATCCTAAAAAATTGTGCATTCTGATTGGCTGTTTGAGACCTGGCAGTATTTTGTCAGTATCTGCCCGCGCTCATGGTCCGGTGTCTTTTGCCGCTAAACAACGGCCCTAACGGCCTCGGCCCATATATTCAAGACCTCGGGCACAGTTTTTCCCTATCCGGACCTCCTGGCCGGTAAATAACATACATGTATTCCTTAACCAGTCATACTTATTTACCAAAAAATGTCCTGTTGTATATTGACTACAGACTTTATTGGAGAGCAAATTTATGATACAAATTACTGGGAACGAGGATGGTACAGTGGTTGCTTTCACCTCCTGAGAGTTAGGGGGATGGGGCGGGGATTTGATCTGAGTTAGCCATACCCTGCTCTGACTTAGGTCAGCCAAAGGTGTTGAGAGGGTTCAATCTGTGAGTTTGCCCTGCCCTGACTTAGATCTGCCCAGAGGTTGTTTCAGAAATGAATCCGTGAAATACCCATGTCCTGACTTAGATCAGCCCAGAGGTTGTTTCAGGGTTTGATCTGTGATTGAGCCATACCCTGACTTTGATCAGCCCAGAGGTTGTTTCAGTGTTTGATGATAAAATAGACCTTTTTTGGAGTTCCATATTACTTCTGTGGTTCCTTTGGTTATGGACTCATTTATTCAGGGGTAGCCTCATTTCAGCATCAGTATAAACAAATACCAATAGTAAAGTAAAGAATGCACTACTTAAACATTACAAACACATACTGGTACTATAAATATTGTGCAGGATCAAGGCTTAGTCCCTGAGCAACAGAGAACTTGAAACTGGAGTATTAATGCATGTTGTCCTATTATCAGATTTTGGCCTCTTCAAATCCACAGTCCATTTTTGTGGTAAATTCATTGAATGCAACCAAGGGTTTTCTACCAAGAAACAAGCAGAGCAGATGGCTGCAAGGCAGGCACTATTAGATCTTGGTGTTGAAGAACCTGAAAGCCTTGGCACCTCAAGAAAAGTAAAAGACAGAACAAGAAAATTGGGATCTTTGAAGAGAAAACATTTCCAAGGTCCTGGAGATTTGGGTTTCCTTTGGTAAGGAATTATGTAACAAATATATATGACATGATTTAATTTGAATTTTCTCAGAAAGATGAAGCTAAATCTTTAAAATTTTGAAACTAAACAAAATTGTACCCCTAAATTTTAATATCTAGTTTACATATTCCTATCAATCCATTTACCATATTTCATCCATCCCATTCAATCCATACATGCATCCTTCCATGCATGCATGCATCCATGCATCCATCGTTCTATCTATCCATCCATCCGTCTGTCTGTCCGTCCGT